GTTATATATATAAATTTAAAAATATGTTTTTTTGTTCTAATAGAGAATTGTAGAAAATAGAAATCAATATAACCTTGACTTCCTTCCATCAATTCTATTTTTTTTCTTTCTTTCTGTTCTTTCTTTTCATTAATGCTCTGATTCTTCATTTAGTATTTTCTATTTAAAACTGTACTTATTTCAATTATTTTTTAATTATAATTATAGATTTTATAAAGATATTTTTAAAATATGTAAATTTTAGATAACAAATATTTAAGATTTATGAATGATATTGATAAAACTTTATTTAATTTAAATGGTTGAAAAAACACCGACAGGTAATGTTTAAAATTATTAGTATGAAAATTTTAACTATAAATTTAAATGAGATACATATTAATGCGTTTTTTTTTAACCTATTCACAAATAAAAAAGGTGCATTTCCGCTATGACCGCCATCTTTTATCCCCGCCGTACGACCCACTATTAGCTTTCTCTTTCCCCGTTCAACAAGTTCCTGCATTTATTGCCATTTTTCACTAATTCAACATAATATAAAATAATAATACAATATTATTAAGTATGAAAATATGTTATATTTTTTAATTTTATTAATTTAATAATGAAAATATATTGAATAAAATGATTTTTCAAATTTTATTCAATATATATAATATAAAGTATTTTAATAAAATATAAAAAACAAAAATCATTTTAAAAATAAATAATAATAAAAATGATATTTAATTTCATTCTATTTTTATTCCTTATATAAGTTTTATTTAACTAATGATCAGATATTCATAACTCATAAATATATAGTACATATATACATGTATACGTAATATACATCTATTTATGTGTATGAATGTATGTATATATGTGTCACGTATTGTTATATATATATATATATATATATATAACAATATATATAGTATACATACTGTTGCTTCATGTTTTTCGATTCATTTATACAATCCTCACATCGAACCTAACCTAACTGGTTTTCCCGCGTTTTATATATTATTTATATGTATCCTCCTAACTACTACATATAATACTATATATATATTAAATTTCTGAAACGTTAATTAATATTAATTGATAAGACTTTCTTTGAAAATAATAAAAATTCCGATTACGTTGAATAAAATAAAATATCGAAATTTTTATATTAGAATATAATGAGAAGTCATTCAAGTAATCAAGATATTTTGTAATAATTCTACATAAAACTTTTATAATAATTATATTATTAAGAAAATCATTAGATGTAATTAATATTATAATTAAAAATATAATGTATTGATACAAAAATAAGTTATATGAATTAAAAAATAACGTAAAGATATTAATTTGTGCGAGGAATAACGAACACCGCAACAGAAATAACTGCGTGGACTTACTTCATCATGCAAACGGACAATCTTGAGTTTCAAAGAAATCTTTCCTTTCTGCATACATTCTCCATTTGCACATCTGGTACATCGCGTTTTCGAAATTTGTAATTTCACTTTAATAATTTCATTAAAATACACTACACAACCGTTCATATATATATTTCAGTAAACTATAAGTCTTAAATATAAACCTGGCAAGGTTAAAAATCAACGTTGCACGTTGACGTTTGAGGTTAGAATCGACAGGTAGCAGTAGTGGTAAAATTGGAAGAACGCATGCGCAGTATACCGAATATATGTTACGCATCCAACTTCAATGTTCTGTTCACCGCGTATTTCAAGTTTTAATATTTAAGCTTATACAATATATTACAAATAATTAATATTATGTATTATTGAATTTTTAAATAATAAAGATATTAAAATAATAAATAGTTTGAATAGAAAGATTAATAAAAAATTTATTTCAATATTTATTTCATTAATTGTAAAAATTAAATTTCTTTTAAATTTATATTTTTTTTAGATTTTTTATATAATTTTATTTTATATAATTTAGTTTTTTTAGATTTTATTTAATTTTTTAATCAATTATTTAATTAATTTTTAAAAATATCACCAAATATCTATATTCACATCTTATTATTATTTGCAAATTTTGATAAATTACATCTTATTTTATATATTATTTTATTTTCAAGAATATTGTTGACAAAAGAAAATTAAATTTAAATGAATTGTAAATGAATACGTAAAATTTAATTATTTATTTAGAATTCTTTACTATCTTCACTATTATCTTTATTATTTTTATTAGATTTGAAATTTGAATTATTTACACATTTTCCACTATCAGAATTGCAGTTTTCATAAATATTTTGTTTCGTAATTTTCATTCAGTATTTGTTATAAATTTCATATTATATAATATATATTAATATTATATAATATATATAATACAGAATATATATATATAATATTATAAATGATTTAACAATTTATTATTATAATTAGCTTTTAATTATTATATTTTGACTTTTAAAAAAAAATTTTCTATTTAAATCAAAAATTAAAAAGAAATAATTTTCTGAATCGAAATTACTCAATTCTCTCTATTAATATATTTTTTATACTATTTCTTATACTTTGTTTATACTATAAAAGCATTTCCTCAAATTAAAATGAATTAAAATTGTTTTTCGCAGACAATCAAATGCATGCATGTAACTTTAATTATATCATACAAATTACATATGGATAGTGTTATGTGTAATGACTGCGATAGTAATACATACATTTATATATTATATGTACATATCTATACTATATGTATGGATACATACATATAGATAACACAGGCAAGAATATAACTTACCTATGCAGCTGTACCGGAGTAGACCTCGCGGGTAAATGCTGGTTATGCGAGACCGGTGGTTGTGTCTGACCCCTGCCAGGGGTCGACGTTACACCGACTAGTGAGTGGCCATGGGGTCCGTGAGGATGACCGTGGGGGTGGGCATGTGGGTGTGGAGGATGGGAGTGGGGGTGAGGATGATGATGGTGATGCAAATCTGCCCCCACTGGACCCACAGGGCCCACCGGACCCCCCACCCCCAGTCCGCTTACTACCTGGACTTGCTTGCTCACTGTCTCCATCACTCCTAGCGCATTGTGTACTGAAACAAAATGCATAAAAATTCATTAAAAATGTTATTTTTATTTCTTTTCTAATTTTTTTCTTAATTAATTGCTTCTAATCATTAAAATATTTTATGAGAATTTATTTAATTAAATTGATAAAACACAATAGAAATAGAAATATAAATTGCAAAAAAATATTTAATATATGCTATAATGAGAATTAAAACAAAAAAATCTAGATAAATTTTTAAATTCTTGTCTATTAAATTTTGTATATAGATGTATTATTTTATCTTTCTTTTTAACAATTTTTTATCTTAATCAAATATTTCTTCGCATATGTTTGAATATATTTCCATATACTAACAAAGAAGATATTATAATTTTAATAATAATAATATCAACAAGTACAACATATTATTAATGTGACAAATATACAAATATTACAGATATTGAAAAAAAATATATATACCCATGTATATTTCAATTTATAATTATTTTATTTTTATTAATATTTATGTACATAAAAATGAAATTAAATTTCTTTAATATTTCAATTAATAATTATCAAAATTTATCATAGAAATTCAAAATATCATTAAATATTATCACTCTTGAAATATCTGCAAAACATTTTTCTCTATCTATTCCATGTCTATATATTAACAAAAATAATTAAGTAATTTGTTATTTTAATTATATCAATGAATTTAGTTTGTTAAATCTGTACAAATGAAAATTTATTGAATAAATATTTTTTATTGATTTGAAATTCATAATCATAAACAATATTATTATATATATTATTTAACGATACAATATAGTAATCTCATAATCAATAATTATGATATATGTAACATAATGATAAAAAAATATTTCGATTTATAACAATGAATGATAATATTCGTAATTTGCAATAAAATTTAATAGAATTTTTTCAGAATATATTTTTCTTGTTTTTTAATCCATGTATTATTAGTAATAAAGCACATCAAGAACAGATGAAAAGAAAGGTTATGAGAATGTTATACATTAGAAAGTACGTGATAATGTATATCAAGACAATGTCATTATCGGATTTATGATGGGAAATATTGTAGTCACTGTTTTTATTTAAATTTTGAATAGTATTTAATAAATTATATATTGTTATATATTTTGCGAAAAAAATATTCCAGCATATTTCCATTATTTAATTCTATATATATTTTTATATTTTAGAATAAATATTTCTAATCTATCAAAAAAAAAAAAAAAAAAAAAAAAAATTTT